TTTTGTGAGTTAGTACTTAATTTACCACTTAATTGTAAAAAAATATTCGGTACAAAATATTTTGTATAAAAATATTTTTTTTTTAATGACAGAAATTCACACAAGGTAATAATTACCTGACACAAAGAGTGGATAAGAAAATTGTCATAAATCATGCAAGAATCTCATTAAATTCGGCAACTTAATATCCCTCAAAACTTGGGTTTTTAAATTTAAATAAAATTGTCACAAAACCCTTCAATTTTCAACTAAAAAAAATATAAACGTTGAAACACCATTGAAGACCGATCTTCCTTCTGTTCTGATTCAAATTGTCAATAATATAACATTACAGTAATACATGACAGTGTCACACTTTCATTAACAATTTAATCACTGACAAAAAAATTGTGAAATTACATTCACTAGTTCATATACAATCTAAATAGTATGCATCACATAATGTGATATTACAAATGTGATATCCATTTATATTGCTTTTAATGAATGATAGTGTTATATCATAATGTAACATTACAAAGTGACGTTATTGTTAGATTTGCAAACAATCAGAGTTGTTTAACATTAAAAAATAAGATAAAAAAATAAATTTTAAAATCTAGGCTAAGTCGTTAAAGTATGTTCAATGTGGTATAATTTTGAATTTCAAATATGTTCAATCCCTTAAAATATAAAACCATTAATATAAAAAATAAAATCGCATAAAAAATGGGACTGCCAAACTAACATGCCTTCAAAATAAAGAAAATGGTATTTTAGTGAAAAAAATATTTAAAAATCTACCAATGAGTACTTAAATATAATACATTTTGAAGTCAAATGTATTTATCTATAAAAGTTTTTATTCAAAGTATTTTTTTCACAATTAAGTAATTTAAAAAATACCTACTCATAATTTTATCCAATTAAATAAGTTATTAAAATTAAATTTGTTGGACTTAATTTTCCTAAGTGCAAATAATAAAATTCATTAAAGCTCATAAATTTAAATGAATATGGATAGCCTAATACCTAAAACTCATACAAGAGTATTCAAGTAAAATACTCTTGTATGGATAACTACTCACAACACTATAAATAGGAGTGTGAGAAAGGTTAAAGAGAATAGGCCAAGGAGAAAAGAAGATCAAGAATGCTTTGTTTAAGTCCATTTCAAGAGGAGGAAAGAGGATGAGCTGCAAAGCTCTGTCAAAATCTTCCTCCAATTGAAGTCCATCCATGAGGAAAAGAGCACACTATGTCATTCGAGAGAGATTCAAATTATCTTCAAACCATTCAACATAAAGAATAGTGAAAAGATCTTCCAAAGACTAATATCAAATTGAAGAACGAGAACCACATTAATCCATCCCTCGTCTGTAATAAATTTACCAAAGTCATCCTCAAATTGAAGATTGAGAATCACGATGATCAAGTCTTTATCTTCACCAAATCCAATCATCTTCAAGCTATTCAAAAAAAAAAAAACAGTGAAAAGATCCACCAAGATTGATATCAAATCGAAGAACAAGAACCACGTCAATCCGACCCTCGTTTTCAATAAATCTATTGAAGTCATCCTCAAATTGAAGATCGAGAATCACGTTGACAAGCTCTTGACTTCACCAAATTTGTTACACCAAATCGAAGGTTGAGAATCACGCTAATCAAGCCTTCATCTTCAACAAATCCACTAAAGCATCACCAAATTGAAAATCAAGAATCACGCCAACCCGACTCTAGTCTTCATCAAATCCATTAAAGCCACCGCTAAATTAAAGATCGATAAACGCAGTGAAACAGTGCTCGTCATCATCAAATCCTCTAATTAGCAGTGCATGTGAGAAGTATGTCTAAGAAAATCAATGCTGCTTTTTTTCCTTAAAATCAAACAAATCAATATTTAAAATTTTACCTTATTTTTGTATTAGTATTACACACAAAATTTATAGGTACAATTAGTTATACAAATTTTGTTGTCTAAATTAGTTGATCAAATTTACAATCCCAATTTACTACTGTCATTTCACTGTTATCAGAATCGAACCGGACCGGTTCAATCGTGAACCGGGACCCAAACCGGTCTGGTTCCTTAGTTGAACCGTTTAAGGAAGCGAACCGGCTAAAAATCGAAAAATCGGCCGATTTTTAACAAAAATCGATTTTTAAAAATTAAATTACATAAATAAATTTTTTTGTCATAAATCAGTAAATAGTTGATTTTTTTTAACTTTATTCTTGGAAAAATTATAAATGACACCCCTTTTTTTCTTTATAATTTACTTGAACCTCTTTACTTTGCTTTAAAATACAATAACCCCCACTTTGTTACTTAATTTCATTAATTTTATGGCAAATTTTATGTATTTTATACATATTTTATATTTTTTAGCTAAATTATTAAGTTTTATAGTTATTATATATATATTTTTTTATTTTTTTATTATATGACCGGTCCGATCAGTTGACCCAACGGGTGAACCAGTGAACCATTGACCCGGTCCAGTTCTGATAACATTGTGTCGTTTCATTAACAGCAGACCCTTGGGACAAATGAGGTCCACTACAACCCAGCAAAGTTTTTTTTTTTTTTTCCTTTGTTCAATGGCCGGAGGTGTTTTGATCAGCTTATGTGTATTTAAATTAATTTTTTCTCTGGTTTAGTTAAAGATATATACATCGGGACTAAAATATTCATGAAAAATAAATTATTCATAACCTCACTTCAAAGTGTTACTAAAATTTGACATAAAGAGCATTATGGCCACTTGTATACACTCTTTTGGAAATACACATCACTTGCCAATCACCATGCAAAAAAATTAATCCTTACGCAATAGGAAGTTTCAAACCCATAACACCAGCAACTTGCACCCATATTTTCCATTAAAATTTCCAACCCCAGCATGATATCCTTGGGGCTTGGTGGTGCTCGGAAATGTTTAGTCCAAATTCAAAACAATAACTTGATGGTCCAAAGAAGGAGTGGTGTGAATATATGAATTGACAGTGGATTAAACTGTGAGAATGAATCAACAATGTATAAGTGGAGTCTCTTGCTCCTTGGGGTTGTGTATATTTCTTGAAGAAGAAGATTACAATGGGTGGTTGGGCTTAAAGTCTATTCATACAATGTTTTGTGAATATTAGTATATCAATGAAGAAATTGTCAGCCTTTTCTTGTAGTGTGATAGTGTTCTATTTATACGGGTAATCTTTCTAGGGTTTCTTGCAACTTCTTTTTTTTTTTTGGCTAATTTTGTGGTTCCCTCTTCTTTTGTCCTTCAATGACCTCTGTTATGTGACGCCACTATATTCATGATCATTGAGTGGTTACATGTACAAATATTCTCTTTGTCAAAGAGTACACGTTTGTTAGAGACTCCAGAAGTTGTCCCTTGGACACGTGGTGCAAAGTGGGGCATTCGGGGTCTGGTGAGTACCGAACTCCTTGATCCCGGACTACTTAACGCTGAACTCATTATGACCGAGCATGTTTATGCCGAGCTAGACTCTTTGCTAGGCTTCCTCTTTCGAATTATGACTCATTCCTTATTACAAAACGGATAAGTTGTTAAGGAATCTCTTGGGTTGTTGTGCATCTTTTTAAGCCCATCAAATGATTTAGGTTTAGAATTGACAGTCCACTCCAAAATCCTTCCGTTATCTGGGCTCTTGCTAAATTATGTACGTAGTAGGTAGTACTTTGCATGGAGTTTCGAATCCTAAAGCAAACAACACCTAAGCTCTCACAAGAAATTAAATTCGGTGTTTGTGCTTATACTTCATTGCCTCTATTAAATGAGTAAGAATAATGTTATTTGCTCTTTATAATTTAACATTAATTTAATGATGTGACAGTGACATGATACAATAATATTATTATAGCTCTATCGCTTGAGACATAATCAACTCAACATATTAAGTCACCATTTTAAGTCCCAATAGTTGTTACTTCAATGAAATGAGACGAAATTTCAATGAAATGAAATATTAAATTTCACTTTATATTTTGATTGACTCGTGTTAAATTTTAGCCCGAAATTTTGTTTAGTTAGCATCACGACAATAGTGACAGTGTCACCGCGTTATGTGATCCTATTATTTTTTTGCAAGAGTAGTGTTATTAGTACCTAAAAAATTAACCTAATTAATTTATTGAAATGATGATATGTAAGTGATAGAGTCTCAATGAAAAACTATAACCGTTACGGTCACAATATTTTATGAAAAATGCTACTTATATTTAAAATATTGATTTAATCAATCATAACCATTGAATAAGTAATGAATTTTAATAAATACTCGGACTCACATTAATTATCATTATATCATGGGAAATGCTATTTAAACCTTATTTAAGAATCTAATGATGTATAACCATTGGATTGGTCTTAGACTCCATCTAACATTATAACTCACAATTAATTCAATGATTACATTAAAACCACATCATTATTTAAAGATCTAATGATTTACAATCATTAAATTAGTTATGAGTTTCATCTAACATTAGACCTCACAACTAATTAAATGATTGCATTAAAATTACATCATTAAATCCCTAAATAAAATATCCAAATAAGGTCCTATAGCATTGCTCCCTTTTTTTAGGTATAGTATTACTCTTTTTACAATTAATTGGTCGACCAGAGTAGAATTCCCCTATTAAAATAAGCAAATTCTTTGACTCCTTGTGGAAGGAGCTAGAGTTAGCTTCCTGAAAAAGTCATAGCTTCAATAGTCCTGGGTAAGTTGAGAAAAACACACAATATGTTGCTGAACCACCTCTTGAAAAGTTATCATCAGTATGTCCTACCCTCTACAAAAATGGGTCATACCAAATGTAACGCCATTGACACACAATTCCGCAAGTTTCCACACATGGCTTCTCTTTTCTCCTCTAATGGAGAAAAGGGTTTACATATATAGCTTTGTTTTCTGCTAATCTCTTAGCACTGGGCTTCTAGTTCTATTTGTTTTCTATCAATTTTTTTGGATAGATTTAGAACTTAGAAGCCATGGCCAGGAGCTATTATTATGTTGTAGTTTTGGCTCTTTTCATCATCAATTTGAACTCTTTTGGACAGAGTGCTACTACTAAAGATGATGATCTGTCATTGGGAGCTTCATATATCTTTGGTGATTCTTTGGTTGATGCTGGAAACAATAACTATCTACCAACATTGTCAAAAGCCAATATTAGGCCTAATGGAATTGATTTCAAAGCTTCTGGAGGTAATCCGACCGGCCGGTATACCAACGGAAAAACCATTGGAGACATTGTTGGTGAGCTCCCTCTCCCTCTCCCTCTCTCACACACACACTCACTCAGTCACTCTCTCAGATGGGTCAATGGCAATTTCACAAACTTCAAGGGTAATTCAAGTGATAATAGGGACCATTTATAAACTCAGAAGTCCTCTGCTCAAATTTTGACAACTCTCTGAGACGAAATCATGAGGGAATTATCTTTTTTGAATATCCTAGTCCAAACGTAGATGGTTTGCTTTTAACCAGATTGAGGAAAGAATTAGTCGAGTTGCGCATAAGTTAGCACTGGACACCACTCACCATTGAACCAAAAAAAAATTATAACAATTCCACAAGGTCCTTATATTATACAATTTTGAGGATATGTTTTTTTTTTCTCTCTCTCTCAGGAGAGGAACTAGGGCAACGACACTATGCAGTGCCATTTCTGGCCCCAAATTCCACAGGAAGAGCTATATTGCATGGAGTTAATTATGCATCAGGAGGGGGTGGAATTATGAATGCCACTGGAAGAATATTTGTAAGTTATCAACCTTCCATGATCACTTATAGTATGAGAAATCCATCCAGTTAAGATGTTCACGGAGCTATTTTTAAATTTAACTTAGGAGAATAACCTAGGGAGATTTAGAGAAGGACCACCTGAATTTAAAAGTCCAAATTGGTTAATGTCAAACACGGGTAACGTACAAGTTTAAACGAGATTGAAATTTGTTGATATATTGTTGTCTGAATTAACATTGTTAAATTACGTAGTTATTCATTTGATTCGTTAGTATGTGAACAATTCTTTTTTTTTTATTTATTAACGGGGGTAAATGTGCGATGGATTTAGTTAAGAAAAAGAAGGATCCTAGTTATGCATTGCATGTCTAAGTCATGTATTATATAGAATGACACGAACACCACAGTAAGATAACACGACCCATAAATGATACATCACGAGTGGATTGATACTCCTCCACCTTAACAGCAAATGTATATGTTGGTTTTTTTATATATGCCTTGATGTTTCTGCTTCATTCTTTTTCAGGTTAACAGACTTTCAATGGACATTCAGATTGATTACTTCAACATTACTAGGAAAGAGATTGATAAATTGTTGGGTGCATCAAAAGCAAGAGATTACGTAATGAAGAAATCCATTTTCTCAATCACAGTTGGTTCAAATGATTTTCTCAACAACTATCTTCTTCCAGTCCTCTCAGTTGGGGCAAGGATATCACAAACCCCAGATGCTTTCATCGATGACCTTATCTCACATCTAAGGGGACAACTTACTGTAGGTTAAAAAAAACTTCCGAATTACTCTTATAGAATTGTTTATGAAATTTAGGATAGCTTTTTCGTATTCTATCGAAAAATACAGCAAGATAAAGATGAGGGTACAACTTAATTTGATGAGCTTACAAATCAACAAGGTTGTTCGGGATGATCCTAACATTTTAAGATCGATCTCAAGGTTTTTGAATCGTATATAAGTTTTAACTTGAACCCAAATGAATTGTAACTAATCTGAGTTTAGTTATAAATTTGGTAAATTACAGTTACATTCCTTGAATTATCATTTTTTTCACTTTGCCCTATCAACTTCAAAATTTTTTACATTGAATCCTCAATTATGTGATTAGTTTTATAATACCCTAATTATTAGCGTCTGTTATATATTTAATAGAAAATTATTTCATTTTACCCCCTAAACTATGTAATTTTTTTCACTTTACTCCCACACGTTCAGAAGACAAAAGTGTGAAACAAAAGTGTTAGTTTAGGGAGTAATGTAAAAAATCTAGTAGTTGAGGGGACAAAGTGAAAAAAAATGATAGTTTAGGGGGTGTAAGTGTAATTTATCCTATAAATTTTGGTGCAGTATTGAAGTTGGAAACATAGTCTAACCCTTGGAATTTAATGTCAACACCCATGTTTTGTGACAGAGACTCTACAAATTGGATGCTAGGAAATTTGTTGTGGGGAATGTTGGGCCCATAGGTTGCATTCCTTATCAGAAGACAATCAATCAGTTGAATGAGGATCAGTGTGTTGCATTGCCAAATAAGCTTGCACTCCAGTACAATGGCAGATTGAAAGATCTACTCACTGCATTAAATGAAAACCTACCAGGAGCCACGTTTATCTATGCAAATGTGTATGATCTAGTGTTGGAAGTCATCAAAAACTATGCAAAATATGGTAAGTACGATTACTCTTCTACTCATATGCATATGCCCACGCGCACAATGCACATACACACAAACTAGGTCATACACAGCATACAAGATTCCGGCTAGCGGGTTTTGATAGAAGTTAGTGATAAATAGTCTTATTTCATTTACAAAGATTGACAAATTCGAACGTTTGACAAAAAATAACCTAGTTTAGAGTGATGTTATTCTTGTTCATTCTGTTTATGGTGAGAAAGTCTCATTTATGAGTTAAGGAGCATCAAATGGGCTCATTATCTAATGTTATTGACCCCATGAAAGTACCAACTTATTGTTAGTGGGTAATTGCAACTATTGGAGTTTGTTCTGCAGTGATCGGTTTAATGTAATGCGGCCATAGAAATTTTTCTCGTTAAAACAAAAAATTCTAATTAGAATGCATTCTGTAAAAGAGAACTAAATTGAGTGAAAAATGGTGAAACTGTGCAGGATTTACAACAGCAAGTAGAGCATGCTGTGGAAATGGAGGGCAGTTTGCTGGGATAATCCCATGTGGACCTACCTCTACTATGTGTTCGGACCGTGATAAGCATGTCTTCTGGGATCCATACCACCCCAGTGAGGCTTCCAACGTTATAATTGCCAAACAATTAATCGATGGAGATACGAAATACATTACTCCGATGAATCTCCGGCAGCTTCGAGACCACTGATGGCATGGCTTCTCCAACTGTTAGTTCAGTTATGCCTGTTTGGGTCTCGTGGTTTGAGGATTTTTCTCTTTCCTTTTTGTTCTTATGTTTGTTGGGTGTTTATTAGTTTAGAAGCCCGACATTTCTGTGTACAATCTAGATTGAACAACGAAGTTATAAGTGCGCTGCCATTCAAGTCAAGTACTAAAAAATTTGCAGTGATTGAGCTGCTGTTCTTATTCATTGGGGTTGAGAATCAATTTCTATTTCAAACTCAAAAATTTGCAGGGCTTGAGCTATTCTTTATGCTCATTGGGTTGGGTTAAACGTAAATTCATCTTTCAAAAACCGAAGTCTAATCCAGCTAATGATGAATAAGGAGGGTCATTAATCACAAGAAGTAGTTCAAATAGTAATAGAGACGAGTTGTAAATTTAGATGTCCGAAGTTCGAATCTTGACAATCCTTTGAGGTCAAATAAGAAAGAATTTATCTCTTGTAAATATCCTAATCTCGACATAAACAGTCTGCTTTTAAAAGAATTAAGAGGGTCATTGCCCTTACTATAATATCATTAACTATGAATACTTTCAAACTATATAAGTTCATCCCTCAATTTTAGCTTCACATCTTAAGCCTAACCTAACCACAGCCAACCAAATTGACATAAATTGGAATCTTGTGAGTAAAAATCTTTTGAATCTCCAATTTAGTCAAAGTTAATCATGTAGCACCGAATTTGTTGACCCTCACTAGCAAATATTTACTAAATC